TATATATATATATATATATATATATATATATATATATATATATATATATATATATATATATATATATATATATATATATATATATATATATATATATATATATATATATATATATATATATATATATATATATATATATATATATATATATATATATATATATATATATATATATATATATATATATATATATATATATATATATATATATATATATATATATATATATATAAGATTATTAGCGAACGTTATTGTGTGACATAAAATACATGTAAAATGGTAAATGGTGCCACCGCCACAGAATTTCACCCATTTTTTTCCCTTGAAGTCCTGCCTAACACTTTTGTTAGCTGAAATAAAAAGAATTGCATTCAATCATCAAAATAAAGAGTTTGAGAGTAATATAACACTTAGCGAGGGAGTTTTTGAGGTGCTTGATGGTGATGATTGTTCTGTATCTGAGGGCCGCTAACACTTGCACTGTCTTTCATTCTACAAGCTAACCATTTCACAAGAAAATGCTCTGTTATGACTAACAACCTGTTTCTATCGCCTTTATCATTCATAGCTCCCTCGCATTTCCATCACTAATGAAATATTTTTAGCCAGCGCAATATTGTACTCTTCTTGGTCTCCTCTAAGTTCCTCTTATTATTTCGCACTGTAGACTCAGGACAGTTCAATTTCCTCACTTTAAAGTTCCCAGTCACTCAGGTGGCAAATCACTTCCCCACCACCTCCCCTAGTCCCCAGAGGTGGCGGAGTGGACAACTCGCCTTCAACATGGCGCCAAACAAACGCTATCATTGATGCGCTCGGACGCTTCCTGAAATTTCCGTTATTCAAGAGAATCCAGGCGTTATTATCGAATGGGTATCTATTGTAACTTACCTTTATTGTCAAAAACGTTATTGTGGAAGTCGTTATTGGCAGAGCCTACTATATCTATATATATGTGTGTGTGTGTGTGTGTGTGTGTGTGTGTGTGTGTGTGTGTGCTTGCGCAGGCTGGTGTTGCGTGTATATACAAGAAAGAAAAAGACGAGGTTCCTCATAAGCGCTTTGATTTGTAATTCACATCTTCAGGGGTGAGTACAGACTAGAGAGTAATACAAATCAAGGTGTATATATACAGGAGGTGAGACCAGGTCCTCATATGCTGAATCCATAGCGCGCACCTACAGTGATTTCTTGCATGTATATGTATATGTATATGTATATGTATATTTCATGTAAATCCACAATGAAAACGTGGATAAGATAAATCTTGATAAATCAGCGTTGTTTCCATTTTCCCGTGTGATTTTATCAATGTATATGTATATGCATATGTATATGTATATATGTATATGTATATATATGTATATATATATGTATATGTATATATATATATATATATATATATATATATATATATATATATATATATATATATATATATATATATATATATATATATATATATATATATATATATATATATATATATATATATATATATATATATATATATATATATATATATATATATATATATATATATATATATATATATATATATATATATATATATATATATATATATATATATATATATATATATATATATATATATATATATATATATATATATATATCTAAGATTGAAATAAAGCTTTTTAAAGTGAGACATTGTATGAGTATGGAAACACAGAAGAAGGCAGAACATTCCACAGTTTGGCTCTGTCAGGAAAGAAGGATGTACTAAAACGGGTTATTATAGTGTGACCGACATCCACAGAGAAACGGTGGGCACTGCGGGCAGGATGCCAAATCCACCGAACATTGCCCATTAAAGCACCTGTAAAAGAGAGTGAAGCAACATTGTGGCAAAGAGAAAGGGAAGAAAGATTGTCAACCAAAAGAGGAGAGAGTTAATAAGACGAAATGCCTTTGATTCCACACTATCTAAGAGTTGAAGAGCCACCCCAGGTATGAGAGCAGTACTCCAAGTTAGGACCAATGAATCCCTCATATACTTGAAGCAAATGCTTAGGAGTGAAGTAGCTACAGCATCTGTACAGCATTCCCAGCTTTCGGGAGGCAGCTTTAGCATTGTTGAGGATGTGTGGCTTCCATGACATATTAGAGGAAATGGTGAGGCCTAGCATATCTATTTCAGGTTGTTGCAGTTAGTAATATTAGATTTTCATTAATGAATATAGTACAACACAGTCCCTCCAAGTAGCACTACCACTTGACTCATTGCGATATGCTTTCATGTTTGTCCCAAATTGTCCTATGAGCAGGTTTTAAAATCTAGGTAAAAAGAAATCAAAATGAGAAAGAAAGCTTCAACACTATTGCAGTGTTTGGGCTTGCAAAGACTATGATGAGCCTGGGATTATGTGCTGTACTGTATAGTCATGTAGTAGTGTGGTTGTTTTCTTAGAAACTGAAAAAAAAACCAGCAAGGAAACCCTGGTAAGTAGGTAACACATTCTGGCCTCCAAGTCGAGAACTAGTTGCCATCCCTTGCAAGGTGTAGTTTTTGGTGTGTACTGAACTGGCCACTTGCCACAGGCCACTGACTAAGCTAACTTTTCTCCCTTTGAGTTTCCATCTCATTAATTATGGGAAATGGCATAAAATGTTTGTTTTAGTGAGAGAAGTTTATCCATACAAATGCCCAGGCTAACATATCTCTTCTTCCATGGTTTGTTATAATTAAATATTTAAACTGGTACGGGACTTTGTTGACAGCCTGTACAAGATGGCATTGACTGCCAGTGGGTGTTAATTAACATCAAGGTGAACACAGCCAGTTGATGTTTAGTTTTACATGATGTTATTAACTTATGACAAGGACTCTGTGAATAAAACTGTATATAATTACATATAATAAATATAATGTTGATTTTTTTTTCATTTATATAAGAAAGAATGAGGAAGCCACACAGTGATTAACACAAGATCAAGTTTATAAGAGCTAAATTTCCACAAAGGGCTAAAGTACAGTTCTGTGATTGACCTCCCCAGTAAAAAGTTGCTAATTGTTGGTACAGTCACCCAAAAAAGTCCTGTCGCGAACCAAGATTCAGACTCGTGAACCCGAAGCAGTAAACACTGATACATTATTCTGTCCATAAATGCTTCGGATTCAAGAGTCTGAATCTCGGGGGTCATGGTTCACGACAGGACTTTTTTGGGTGACTGTGCATACAGTATTCCACCTGATTCAGCTGCTGGTGGTTTATTCCATCACAAAAGCTTCGACATAATAACAATAAAAAGCCCAAAATTAGCCATTCTGAAGATACTCTCTATTAATTACAGCTAACAATGGTTTATAGTGTTCTTGTGTTCCTATAATGTTGTATCAAAGACCCACATACTGTACTGCCTTTCACTCATTATTATTTCTGCTGTTGATCATATGTAACCATTCAGGTGTTACAACTGTCTAGAGAGCCAGGAACATTTTCTGAAGTGTTTTCTTGTTGTGAGGGGCAGGAGTCCTTTTTCCTACTGATGGTTTTCATTCCTGTTTACATTTCTTCTTAATGATCTGCCATTTTTGACATCCTGTGTTTAATCCCTTCAGTCGCCATTTTTCCCATTCCATATTTACCTGCGTCTAATAGTGACTGGCCTGCCACGAAAAGGTAACATTCTACCCGTTGAACCCATCATTGGATAGACTGGTAACATTTTATCTCTTAACCCAAAAGATCTCCATTAGTCCTGGGGCTAGACATGAGGAGTATGTTTTTTATAATAGTAATACACAAAGGTAACTGTAACACTTAATACCATGTTTGCTATTATCCAAAGTAGTTGCTCTACACACTGTACATTCCTCCATATTTACAGGAGGAGAGTTTACTGACAGTCTGAAGGTACTCTCCTGAATGTCATGAACGTCATTTATAAAAGATTCGCTAAAGAATTTTAGAGAAACTACATAGACCAGATTCTACAGAGTTCATCAGTTTTATAGTAGGAGTACAGTACTGAGAACAAGAAGTGAACATCTGCCAAACATAAAGGTAAGATTATATTTTTGGTTGAGTGTATTGTACCATTATTTAGAATTATTGTACAGGGAAGCTGGGCACTGTATGACCTCCTAGACATCAAGAGTACAATACAGTAACCAAGAGATGTGTAGAAATGTTGATGGAGTAATACAATCCAGTGATATTAATTATTATATAGTACAGTCTCGTTCAAGATACTTCAAACACGGCTGGCAACTCGAGGCCCTTTGTTTACAATAGTACATATTAAAAAGTGATCGGTGATTGGTTACTTAGTTCCTAGTTGCTTAATTTAATGGTTGGGCTTTGTTGGTTCGTATTATAGTAAACAGAGGGCCTCAAGTTGCCGGCAGTGTTTGTTACAATAAAAGGTTCAAAGTAGGTTTAGGTCTCAGGCAGATTTAAACATTTTGGAATTTTGTAAACTTTATTGTTCATGATCATTAATGCTGTGGATGGATGGAACGGTGTAAGACATAAGCGAGAATAGCAATTCTGATAATTTCTGTAGGCAGAATATGTAGTTTATTGTTTTCACGAAGATTGGAGGAACAAGATTTTGGCTACTGGAAGAAGAAAAATAAACAAGAGGTAAAATACAAAAGGAAGACTTTTTTTTGTGGTAAAAAAAAAAAGCTTGAATGTTAGGAATAAAAAGTGGTACAAAAGTTTAGCTGTATGTAGTCTGTGGTTAGTTACAGTAATTAACAAGAAAGTGGATTTCGAAAATGAAGCATTGCAAAGAAATAGTAGTATATACAGCTCCTCCCCGACTTACGACAGGGTTAGGGACCCAAATCCAGGTCGTAAGTCGAAAATGCTTAAATAATACATAGAAAATCTAAAATGGGTGTCTCTTTTTCTTCTCAGCACCACAAAACTCACTTTTAAGCTTGCCAGCCATTTTAAAGTGAATTGCAAACGAAAATTTTGTCAGTACACAGCGCAATCACTGATTTTGGGACTCAAAAATATGTAATTTGACAAAATTTTGGTACGACTGAGGCGGTCGTATGTCCGGGCGGTCGTAAGACTGGGAGGAGCTGTACAGTAGTTGGAGATGACCACATGGGCTGCACTGCAATACATCTTGTTCAATAAATTTGTTCAGTAAGATCTTGTGTTTCGGGAGTAATATACACAGACTGGAAAAATTGTGCCAAATTCAAATTTGCCAGACACTAATACATAAACTAATGGAAAAAAATAACAATATACTGTAGACTGGCCACTCTACATCAACTTCTGATTTTCCCATTTATAACCTCCAAATGATACAAATTCTGCCTTTATTGACCTGATTGTGCTTTTTGGAAACTAGTTTTAATTCCTTCCTCAAGTAATTTAATCACACTCTGCTTATCCTGCATCTAGTACTTGGGAAACTTAACTCCCTTATGATAGTCCCACTTCTTTTCCTTATTTGGCTGCTTAGGTTGGTCTGTCCCACCAGCACCAGTAGGACCCCCAGTAGAGGTAGAGGCCATTATCTTGACTAGACAAGTGGTAGCACCACCCAAAAAATCACACAATAACAGCCCGGGCGGTCGCTAGGATGGCGCGGGCTATAACGCGATAGTTGTGTTCTTATAAACCCCTTTTACATTCACCACCGGCAATTTGATCACCAGAATGCTTCTTGAAAACATTCTTCTTACCTTGTCTTCCCGTATTCATCGCTAACACAACAAAATTGGAGAAAATAGCAAAAATCACAGAGTAATTGACAGAAACCGTGCGATTCAGCTGATCACGTAATGAAAACAGAGAGCACTGGTGTAAACCGTTATTAGTCCTCACTGCGAAACATTCTATTTACTTATTCTTTTCATACAGTATTTATGGGTAACAGCTAAATTTGCAAAAAAAGAACAAATTTACACTGTCTTTCTCAAAAAAGACTTCACAAACAAAAGACACGAATAATTGAACATGTGATGTTGAACGTGAACTGTAAACATTGCATAACCCCACGCCACACTTAAAACGTTGAGGATGGAATCGCGCTAAAGCCATCATTCGTATGCAAAAGTTGGCATTTTACAAACGGCGTTCCCCTATTCATCAATCTCGTTACAACCAATTTGCATTGACAAAACACTCGTTGTAGCAGAAATGACTGTAACTGGTATGAGGGCTGTGACGTCATTCAAGACGGTGGCCAGTGTTCAGCTGGCTGGATCTAGCGAAACCCAATATTTTATGGCAAATATAAGGCTTGGTTACTTTGGGTAGTGCTCGCGAAATTAAAAAAATACGAAATGAAATGGCGTGAAATAAGAGATGTTACTATATGTGAAACTATAAATGTTAGTATCAGAGGCATAATTAATAACAGTTGTATAAAGTAATCATTTATACTGTACAGTAATGAGGAAAAAAAATTATACTAATTTCAAAACCTGATAAGGAACAAATTTGACGTAAGGAATGAGAAGATGTTTTTACAACCTTAGTCATTATCAGAACTGTCAATTTCTATATTATTTATACAATAATTGCGGGTTATGTTTCGTAAATCCTCGACCACTCCTGACCAGCCGTCCTTGTCCAAGCCTTCTTCTACCAAAGATGGTACTTTAGTCACATCTAATTTTTCTGCAGCTGTCACAAGGTGTTGAAGGAGGTGACCTATTCCAGCACCTTGATGGAGACCTGCTGCACATGGTGCACTTTTGATGTCTGGAAAAGAGAAACATTTAAGAGAAAGAGAGATAAACAACTTAATTCTGGCATGATTCTGCTTTCTTGGGTGACTGAAACAACATAACATTTGCCATGTACAATATAAATATAATTGAAAATTACATTTGTTTAAGGTTTAACTTTTTGACAGCAAGAGGTCAAAAATACATAAAGTGAGAGCGATCTTACTAGTTGTTGCAACATTATTAGCATAGCCATCTTCTGTGAATGTCCCAGAGAAGATGGAGGGGAAGGGTGGATTTAACTTGAGAGGATCTTGCACTCCTGTTACCATTCTCATGCTTGGTGGTGTATGAGATTCTTGAAGAAATTCATTGTAAAGCTGAGATGCAGTTGTGTAGTGAACTCCTGGAGGCAACTTGGTATCAGGCCTGAAGAAGCATCCATTGTATAGTACATCATTTGGCAAGACTTAATTGTTATACAATTCTAAAAAATAGGAGTTTGATCATATAAATGGAGAAGCAAATCTCAATAAGCAAAGAACCGATTCAAATTACTGAGTTTCTGGAACTAAAAAGTGCCCATGAATATGGAGTGATTTTTTCTCGAGCTGCTATACGATAGAGTAATAATAATAATAATAGTTGCCCCTCGTGTAACGAGGATGGCCGGCCCAGGGGCCACCTAGGCATGAATTTGTTTAAGGTGCAGAAGCTGTCGCCAACACAACAATCACACCCTAAGTTAATGAGCTGCGTGACCCAGTGTCTAGGAATAGCCCGAGAAGACCGGACAACTCGCCAACTACACTGGCTAACCATTACCCTGGAAGACAATACGCAAATCTATTAACATCCAGGTCCCCAATTACCGCTGGGTAGACAGAGGCAAATGGTGTAAAGAAACTTGCCCATAGATTCACCCTGGCCGGGGATCAAACCCTGGTCCTATCACTTGTGAGGCGAGCATGCTGACAGGAGCACCCACCCATACACACCCTCTCTCTCACTTCACCTATTGTCATTTTCCTGCTGCAAAGATTGAAGAGTTTATACAGGTAATTCTGCTATAACGCGTTAGTTGAGTTCTTGTAAAACATCGTGTTATAGAAATTCGCGTAATAGAAATAACAGGGCTTATGGAGAAAATAGGGTTAGGTGCAGATTACTCCAAATCGAAAAAAAAATTCGTAGTTAGCCAAACACAAAGGATAGCACAGTCTAAATAAATGTTACATTCATATCTAATAATGAAATCATACAGTAAATGTTACACTTTACCTTGAAAAAATATGAATATAACTTGATGGGGGATAAGGTTGATGTTGAGGAGTCATGAAACAACAAGCTTTTCTTCAAGTGTTATAGCCTTTCTTTTACGATCACCAGAACGCTTCCCAGAGATATTCTTCTTTTCCATAGTCACAAAATTGGAGAAACAGTAATCAGAATTCACTGAGGACACTTAAAAACTTCACACGTGTTTCAAACTGAACATGTGGAGTAAACAGAGCGCGCGGGTCTAAAACGCTATGTATTTTGTTTTTCTCTCTTATTTAAAAATTTACAATTTACATATACTATACAGGTATACTGTAAACATAAATATTACATAAATTATTTCTGCAATTGTTCACAAACAAAACACATAAATCAATTGAACATGTGATGTCGAACGTGAACTTGTGGGGTATGGGATGGAGAAAGGAAACTCACAATGTGCTCTCTGTATACATGTTGTATTGGATGTACAATGCAGCTTGGTGCTGGGAAGTGGCAGCGTGGTTACAAGCGTGATGTAGAGAGAGCTGGTTGGTGAGGGTGCTCAGAGGACCAGCTTGTGGGTTGCAATGCTCGCCGGCGAGAGCGAGGGCCGCCAGGCAGCGGGGGAGGAGGTGGTGTTGCTTACTGCGGCTGTAGCTAGAAGAAGAGCGAGGTCACCACGAGGTCAGGTCTTAAATAGCGGGAGTAGGCGTGGCTTAGTAGTTGACCTCCGTGATGTATGGCGGCGCTGGTTGACCTAGACCACGAGGCACACACTGAGGAATTCGCGGGGTCGGCTACTCAGCAACAAACAGCGTTTGTAGGGGAGAAATCCACTACAAACTGTAAACACTGCATAACCCCGCGCCAAGCCACAACACTGTACAGTACACTTTAAAAGCTACGTATTTAGTTTTTCTCTTTTATTTAAATTTTTACAATTTACATACAGTATACATATATGTAAATTGTAATTTACATATTATTCATATTATGCTACAGCGCCCACAAAACATGAGAAACGTTTGAGTCCCCCAGTAGAGATGTCCGTTCTCTATCCACTTCAGGATGTCTTAGTCCTCCGTTTTCTTTTTGTGTACTCACTCAGGGACTCAAGTATTTCTGTATACAGTGACCCCTCGGTTAACGAACTCAATCCGTTCCAGAAAATTCGTTAACCGAAACCATTGTTTCAATGGGTTTTTGGGTAATTGGTTCCAGCTCACCGAAAATTGACTAAATTCAACAAAAATGGTAGAAAAGTTCACTTACTTTGAGGTGTGTATGTAGATGGCTCCTGGATGATGATGATGGGAATTAGAATGGAGGTGGAGGAGAAGGAAGAAGAGAAGGCATTGGGGTGGAAGAGAAGTCACCCCATGGCACCATTTCACCCATAAAATTTTAGTTCTCTTGGTGTATTTCAAGATTATTTTCTTTAAATCAACACTGCACTGCATTATATATTGTCAATATGTAAAATATATTTCAAAATGACCAATAATTTGCTTGGAAACACGTAAAAAAAGCGTTTAGTTGAAGAGAGTCTCAAGCAAGATGTTACCTCCAGTGAAAACAGAGAGAGACTAAAGCCTGTTTGCTGTGTTAAGAGGCTGGATGCCGCGCATTAAACTAGTCACTTTACCTTCAATTATGTTCAATAATTGTTAAAATGAGTAAAAAATTGAATATTAAACTTTTAAAATTATTGAATAGTATAAACTTCTTGATATTTACTAAAACAGTAAAGAATTTAAGCCCTAGAACCGATTAATGGATTGGCGGACTGATACTAAAGCTGGTTGCCCGGTCAGTGCAAGTGAAAACATGTTGAGGTCGGTTCGTAAGAACTTCGTTAACCGAATTTTTTTTCGTTAACCGAATTGAAGATCCTTATGGAAGGCAGTTCGTTAATCGAAATTACGTTAACCGAGGTGTTCGTTAAACGAGGGGTCACTGTACTTGAAATAGATTTGCCGATTTATTTGTTTATTTATTTATTTATAATATACTGTACTGTAATATATTAATTACACAGCAAGTATTTTCTTTAATTTATATACAGCTAGACCCCGACTTACGACGGGGTTAGGGACCCAAATCCAGGTCGTAAGTCCGACATGGTCGTAAGTCCGACATAGAAAAAAAAAAAAAAAAAATCTACAATGAAATACAGTACACGAAACGTAAAAAATAATGAGGAATGGATACAGTACAGTAAAAGTAATAAATAATGAGGAATGGATACAGTACAGTAAAAGTAATAAATAATGAGGAATGGATACAGTGTGACTGAGCATTTACCTTAAATGTAGTCAGCTGAATGCACACAGAGCCCCCATAATTTTCTATTTACAGGATACATGGAGACTATATTAATTGGAAGAAGCAGAAGAGGAGACAGGGCTGGGTGGGTCATCAATGTCGCTTTCTTCAGACAGGTTTATGTACAGGGGTAACTTGCTGGTTGAAGGTATTGGATCATCTTGAGGGAGTGAAGAGGCAGCACTGGTGGGGTGTGAGGAGCCAGTACTGGGGGACTTCTTGAAATAGATGTCCAATTTAGACTGCACAGTTTGCTTTTTCTTTTCATTATAAATTTCTCTGTAGCAAGCAAGTGCATCTTGGATCATTCTGTCAACTTTGGCATAACGCTCATAATTTTGATCAATGTCATCAAACATTTGCATTCCTTTATTAATTGTAGCAAATGCCTCTGCCAGATGTGTTTCACTGAAAACTTTTTGGGGGGTGCAGGCTCTTCTTCTACATTTTGTCTCTCTTCTTCCTCTGCAACTTTCTGTGCATCTAGTTCAATAAGATCCTCGTTACTGAGCTCTTCTGCTACACTTTCAACCAACTGTCCAACATCTTCAGTATCAATTTCTAACTCCAGCTGTTTACCTAACTCCACTATCTTGTTACTAATATCCAAAATAACTTCATTTTCATTAAATCCTTTGAAACTGTGCACATATCTTTTCAGGATTTTCTTCCATATTCCATTCATGCAATGTTTTGTAACCTGATCCCATGCTGCACTAATGTTCTTTATACATGACAAAATGTTGTACTCCTTCCAAAACTGTCTGAGCGTTTTCTCACCTTCAGTAGCAGCAACAGCCTGAGCGAAGGTCGTGCGTAAATAATACGCTTTAAAGGCAGCAATAGCACCTTGATCCATGGGTTGGATGATAGAGGTAGTGTTAGGTGGAATGTACACTACCTTAACATCAGGGTGCATGTCGTCCAGGTGTGGTGGGTGTCCCGGAGCATTATCCAAAATCAGTAAAATCTTGAATGGAATCCTTTGTTGCAGACAATACTCCTTGGCTCGTGGAATGAAACAAGTCATGAACCAATCCTCAAACAGTACTAGGGTCATCCAGGCTTTCTTGTTACTGCGATAAAACACTGGCAGTGTGTGCTTGCTGACATGTTTAAAAGCCCTGGGGTTCTCTGAATGATAGATCATGAAGGGCTTTAGCTCGAAACCAGCAACATTCCCCCCCAACAGAAGTGTAATTCTGTCCTTGAATGCCTTGAATCCGGGCATTTTTTTTGCCTCTGTGGATGTATGTCCGCTCAGGCATGCGTTTCCACAATAATCCAGTCTCATCCACATTGAATATTTGCTCAGGCAAATAATTCCCTTCCACAATCACATCATCTAACTCCTCCTTGAAAGCTTCGGCAGCACCAACATCGGCACTAGCTGCCTCTTCACTCACCTTAACATTGTGTAGACTGTAGCGTTTTTTAAATCTATCAAACCACCCATGACTTCCTGTAAAGGTTTGATCACATTCATCTCCTGCCTGCTCCTTCAGGCTTTGGAACAGGCTTCTTGCTTTAGCCTGTATGGTTAGAACACTTAAGGGTACACGCTTCTGTATCTGGTCTTCTATCCATATCACCAATAATTTTTCCATATCGTGGATAGGACCTTGTCTTTTCTTTGATATTATAGTTCCCTTTATAGGTGTTGTTCCTTTCACTACTTCACGAATACGTTCCTTGTCCTTCAGAATAGTGGATATAGTCGAGTGTGAGAAACCTAGGTCGCGTGAGATTGTTGCTACTGTTTTTCCATTCTCACACTGTGTTATTATCTTCAGTTTCATCTCAAAAGTAATTGCCTGTATCCTTTTCCTTGGAGCACCACCAGCACTCTCACTTTTACGCTTTCCAGTCATTATAAAGTCAATTAAATATGATAATAACGAAAGTTCACAGCGCGATCAGTATAGGATACGATAGCCAAACACAAACAAAGCGCTCCACTGAGTGAGTGTACCCACGAGGCAACCCAAGACACCCCTCCCTCTCGCCCGGGACGGAAACGTTTCGGTATAGAAAATGCGCGCGTCATTTGAAAAAATTTTTGGTCACGACGGTCGCAGTCGTATGTCCCGTATGGACGTACGGTCAAAGCAGGTCGTAAGTACCAATGGACATAAGTCCACGTAGTCGTAAGTCGGGGTCTAGCTGTACTTGTTTCGCAAAAAAGGGAGGCTACCATTAAACCTGGTAGGTGAAGTTGACCAGACATTTATGGTGACCATTAAGGACCAAACTCTGAATCCATGACGTGACTTCTGTTCATCATTTATATCCTAAATTTACCACTGTCGGTAGTTTCAAGAATAAACGCAGTCATTTACTGAATATTCTTTGTAAAAAATCAATTTTAAATGAATTATTTATAGGAGGTAAGTATTATCATCAGTAAATATACAGATATGCATTACTGACCACCTCCGAACACAAGGACGGCTAAAAATAGCCACAGGCGGTCACAGTCAAGGTCACTTTCCCTTTCTTGTCACTGGCAAATGGGGGGGGGGTGGTGATGATAGTAGCTGTGTTTATTACCGGGGTATATTGTTCTTTTACAGTATGTTAGACAGGTTTATAGTAAATTTTTATTATTTTAATATACCGGTAATCTTTATTTTAATTCAGCTTCCCATAACGTAAGTTTCAGTATAAAATAATTAGGGGTAGGACCTTGAGTGGTTTACTATGTTTCCATCACCACTCTTGACACACTAAACCGCAATATTTAAGAGGTAAGAATTTTATATCTGGTGCCTAAGACGACCCCCTAACTTTGGGCTAATTTTTTTATGGTTCAAATTCCTTCTTATAGGCCGAGATATATGGTAAATTATTTCTGCAATTGTTCACAAGCAAAACACATAAATCAATTGAACATGTGATGTCGAACGTGAACTGTAAACACTGCATAACCCCGCGCCAAGCCACAACAACCGTTCAAGTGGAATCGCGTTAGAGCAAACGCGTTCGCGTTTTACAAATATTGTTCCTCGATTCATCAATCGCGTTGTCAAAACACGCGTTATAGCAGAACTCCCTGTATACCGGTAGTTCCTTGATTCTTCTTGTGAAAGAACCTTTTTTATGATAATTTAATCAATGGTTTAGTCAAATATTACTGTTAACCCTTGCTTCTCTCGTGAAAAATAATAATCCTGTAATTGTTTGACTAGCCCAAGCAAATAAGGAAAATGTTTGCAAACTGTAGATGATAATTTAATCATGTTGTTGTATATGAGCTGAAAGGATACACTTCCTCTTATATAAGGGTGCCTGACATGTCTGTGGCCACTTCTTAGGTGAACAAAATCACTCTTATAGGGATGGGCACATATTTTAAACTTGTCGGAACATTACTAGTCTGAGGGCTGGGAAGTTTGCTAATAGGTGTCATCTGATTATTTTAACCACTTTCTCGCATTCAGCATGAGTTAAAGAATTTGGGGTCCAGTTTAATTTCCTACTCTAGTGGAGATGATGTATGTTGTAAACACCTAATTTTAATGGTCTCCAAGTTCACAAATTTTAACTGTAGATGTGGTACCTATATTTACCCAAGGGATTTTACACATATTGTAATCATCAGTTCCCAATTTCTGTTCTTTTGTTGATATTTTATCTAGCCAAAGCTCTTGTGACAAAGGACATGCAACTGTTAACTAGATCAAGAGAAAGGAAGAACAATGGATTAATTCATTATACAGTATATCCCAAACCTGACTAGTCTTGATGAAGGTACACCTCGGATGACACGAATCTCACTGATGGGAGCCACAGTGTAGTCACAACCAGCACTCAGGGATACTAAGTTGGGTTTGTGTCCTTGCTGAAGCCATTCCAACATTGCCTGGTCAAAGCGTAGTCCTAGAGGCAGTGCTACACTTCCTGCTGCCACCTATAAATAGAAAATAATTGAGTACAGGGTATAGTTCCTCAAATTTGTATGTGAAAATTTCCATATGCAAAATACTCAAGGCAAAGCATTCTCACCATTTGAGATGATGCTTTATAGTACAGTATTAAAGGCAGCATCACACCAGCATTTCTATTGCCAACTTTTTCATTACTGTCGGCATTGTTGTTGGCTTTTTGTCACACGGTAGAGACCTTCTGCTCGTACAACTCATTATGCCAGGCTTATATGCATTAAATGGTTTGTCCAACAATGACACTTATTCTAGTAAAATGGAGTAATTTATATTTGTTGAAGGATCTTACATTTCGTCCTCCTGGAGACAACATGTCCACAACATATGAAAGTGGCAGGGGTGACGTACGACTGCGGTACACTAAACTTGCAGTGTCCACAAATGCTGCCATCACACTACTGGTGATATATGGATTATTTTCCTGGAAGCATAAGAAAAATTATGATAACATCTACATAACAGAAAACAATTGTCAAATACGTACTGTACGATATTAATACAAACTTCCTTCTACAGTGGTCCCTCGGTTAACGAGATTTCGGTTAACGAGTTACCTTCCATAAGATTCTTAACTTCGGTTAACGAGCAATCCCTCGATTAACGAGTTTCTTACGAGCCAACCTAAACATGATTTCGCTTGCATTTGGCGGTCCACCAGCTGTAGTATTAGTCCGCCAATACAGTAATCGGTTCTAGGGCTTAAATTCCTTACCATTTTAGCAAATATCAAGAAGTTTATACTATTCAATAATTTTAAAAGTTTAATATTACATTTTTTACTCATTTTAACAATTATTGAACATAATTGAAGGTAATGAAACTAGTTTTATGAATACCATCCAGCCTCTCAACACACCATACAGGCGTCAGTCTTTGTATCTTTTCAGTGGAGGTAACATCTTGCTTGAGACTCTCTTCAACTAAATGCTTTTTTTCTGTTTTTGCAAGCAAATTATTGGTCATTTTGAAATTTATTTTACATATTGACAATATATAATGCAGTGCAGTGTTGATTTAATGAAAATAATCTTGAATTGCACCAAGAGAACTAAAATTTTATGGGTGAAATGGCGCCATGGGGTGACTTCTCTTCCACCCCAATGCCTTCTCTTCTCCCTTCTCCACCCCCATTCTAATTCCCATCATCCAGGAGTCTTCTACATACACACCTCAAAGTAAGTAAACTTTTCTACCTTTTTTGTTGAATTTAGGCAATTTTCGGTGAGCTGGAACCAATTACCCAAAAACCCATTGAAACAATGGTTTCGGTTAACGAGCAACCTTCTAGAACGGATTGTGCTCGTTAACTGAGGGCCCACTGTATTTACAAATACTCTACTGTATATGTTTACCGGTTTTCTGTTACATATTAAATTCTGTTGAAATTTGGTAGAATGTATTACCGTATATACTCGTCTATAACCCCCCCTCGTTTATAGGTCGACCCTGATTTTTTGACCAAGAAATCGTTAATTTACGATATTCCTCGTTTATAGTTCAACCCACGTTTTTGAGGGTAATGGAACAACAAAACCTTCACTAAAAACGCTCTACGTCCTATAAACTGAGGCTCGCCGTGCATGAAACACGAGTGCCGAAGGCAAATTGTTTACCATTTATTATTACGACACTTTACACTGAAACGCGGGTAGTTTCAACAAAAATATTGTATATTTCCATTCAAGTATTTATTCAAGTCAATTAGGATAGAATATTATTGTAATACAACAGTTTTTTAACTAAACCATTCGAAAAGCGATTACGGTACAACATCTTTTGAACAAAAGAAAGCGAAAGTCATTGTTTTCGTCACGATTTTATCCCACTTTCCACTTTAATACGTACGTAATTTCAGCAAAAATATTACATTTCTGTGAATGTATTATATCAAGCACAGTATGAATAGAATATCATTGTAATATAACAGAACTTTAACCGAAAACTATTAAAAAACGAGTAACATCTCAAGAACAGAAGCTTAGGTAAAGTCTTGTTTTCGTCATGTATTTTATCCTATTTTACATTGAAATACATCACGTTTCAGCAAAACTACTTTTATTTCCGAGAATATATTCATTCAGGCACAGTTTAGGTAAAATATATGTGTGATGTAATTGTTTTTTAACTGAAAACGATTCGAAAAACACGTACCCTCTAGCCCTGTTCAAGGAGAAGACTGGGAGAAGCTGTTTGGTGCTGCAGACGATGACAAGGAAAATGATTTTGATGGATTTTAATGAAAATATTCAGAAATATGGTATCGTAGTATTTATTCAAGTCAATTAGGATAGAATATTATCGTAATACAACAGTTTTTTAACTGAAAACCATTCGAAAAGCGATTACGGTAACATCTTTTGAACGAAAGAAAGCGAAAGTCATTGTTTTCGTCACAATTTCATCCCACTTTCCACTGTAATACGTACGTCATTTCAGCAAAAATATTACATTTCTGTGAATGTATTATATCAAGCACAGTATGAATAGAATATCATTGTAATATAACAGAATTTTAACCGAAAACTATTAAAAAAACGAGTAACATCTCAAGAACAGAAGCTTAGGTAAAGTCTTTTGTTTTCGTCATGTATTTTATCCTATTTTACATTGAAATACATCACGTTTCAGCAAAACTACTATTTATTTCCGAGAACATATTCATTCAGGCACAGTTAAGGTAAAATATACATGTGACGTAACAGTTTTTTAACTGTAAACGATTTGAAAAACACGTGTACCGTCTAGCTGATACAGCTGGTGGTGCGTGATGCGTCGTTGTAAACAATAGGAGGTTGAAGTAGATTACCGGGTATTATATTAAGTGTGAAATATCGAAAAGGTTTTTATTACCGGTATTTTTTGTAGATCAATGAGAACTGTGATACCGTATATATGATAAGTTAGCCTGTGCTAAGAACTTCAACAGAGACTACTGAAAGCACATTGTAAGGTAATTTAGCCTATTGTAAGTTGGTGAGCTTCATTTACTGAAGGAACTGCACAACTTTTCATTACTAATTGGTACATATTTTACGTTTCCATTGTTTACTGGCAGTAAATGGTAAATATTTTTCATGTCTGAAGCTAAAAGTTGCTCCTCGCCCTTCCCATCATGCACGGGTTCAACCTAACAAAACTATTACGCATGTATAGGACGACCCCCAATTTGTTGCCTAAAAATTTGGTCTTAAAAACTCGAACTATACACGAGTATATACGGTATATCCAATGTCATAGACACTGCTGAGTGGTCAATGACCCTTTAAAACCTCTCTAGTGACAATAATCAAAGTGTCACAGTCACTCTGCTATAGCAATATTACCAAATAACTCTTATCTTTCATCTTAACAGCTTGGTAAACTTATTGATTATTACCTACCTCTAATGTCAAGTTGGAGAAAGTAGTACTTGGTGCCTGGAAATCCCAGCAACTTTTGCGAAGACTGAGTGGTACAAACACACTTGACAGTTTGCTCAACTCTGTATAGGACTGAAAGAACAATCAAGGGTTTTGTATATACAGTAGAGTAGAGAACATGGAATAACAAATGCAGCAGAGCAAATCATGCACTCAATCCTGAAAGGGCTTGATATACAATGTATATAGCTGAACAAAGTGGATAGAAATGATCACTGTATTGAATTTTGATTCACATTGAGTCTACTATTAATAATATAGGACTGCTGTATATCATAGATGAGAAGGAAATGTATTCAGGATATGAACTCTACATAAAAGTTTTATATGGGAAAATACTAAGACCTTTTTATTAATTGTACTTTAAACTGTATGGCAGCCTGGTACGACTAGAAATATGGCACATCTAATAGGTTAGGTTAAGTTAAGTTTATTAGGACTAAAGGAAATACAGTGGTCCCTCGGTTAACGAGCACAATTCGTTCCAGAAGGTTGCTCGTTAACTGAAAAATTCGTTAACCGAAACCATTGTTTCAATGGGTTTTTGGGTAATTGGTTCCAGCTCACCGAAAATTACATACAACTAAAAATAAATGCAGTAAAGTACACTTACTTTGAGGTGTGCATGTAGAAGGCTCCTGGATGATGATGATGATGGCAATTAGAATGGGGGTGGAGGAGAAGGGAGAAGAGAAGGCATTGGGGTTGAAGAGAAGTCACCTCATGCTGCCATTTCACCCATAAAATTTTAGCTCACTTGGTGTAATTCAAGATTATTTTCTTTAAATCAACACTGCACTGCATTATATATTGTCAATATGTAAAATATATTTCAAAATGACCAATAATTTGACTGGAAACACAGAAAAAAGCATTTATGTTGAAGAGTCTCAAACAAGATGTTCCTCCCTCTGAGCTGGTAAACAAACTGACGCCAAACTGTAGCTGTTTGGCGCACATAAAACTGGGTTCCTATACTTCAATTATGTTCAATAATTGTTAAAATGATTAAAAAATTGAATATAAAACTTTTAAAATTATTGAATAGTACAACTTTCTTGATATTTACTAAAATGGTAAGGAATTTAAGCCCTAGAACCGATTACTGTATTGACGGACTAATACTATAGCTGGTGGGCAGCCAAATGCAGGCGAAAACATGTTGGGAAAAATTCGTAAGGAATTCGTTAACCGAGGGTTTGCTCGTTAACCGAAGTGAAGAATCTTATGGAAGGTAATTCGTTAACCGAGGCGCTCGTTAACAGAGGGATCACTGTATGACTTACAACCTGTTAAGTGACTACAGTAGAGTACCTGCACTATAGCTGCCCTTGTCAGTATTCTGGCTTGAGGTATGACAGGAGACAGTTGTGAGGGAGTAGTAGCAAAAGTTATGGAGTCTTTGGACCCATATTCATCTGCCAGGTGTTGCAGTACCCCATAACACACTCCTCCCATTCCATCATGAATGTCACTTAGTATTTGGAAACCCTGAAAAATATGTTCTTGAGAATTATAATCTTCTATACAGTGGAAGAAAAGTTCTGCTTAATAAGCTTATGTCACTAACATTTAAAGGTATGATTCACTGACAAGGTAGCCATGCAAGAGTTTCTTCTGGGGATACATTTTCAATGCTACATGATGTGGGGAATATTTCTATACAACTAAGTTGGCCGAATGAAGTTTTTGAGGAATTAATGCATGCAGTGAGAGTTTTGACAAACAACTTAGAACATAATTAATTACCTTATGTTTATCCAGAAGCATTAACCCCTTGAAGTACATCGATTTTATCCCATTAGTGCAAGTCTTAACTCCTCAGAATATGATGACCTATTTCTTTGAGTAAAAAAACACTGTACCCGAGAAGTCACCATACATGGGGGGTTAAGATGGTTTGTGACACAAAAACGATAACGGCGAGTACAGAAATAAAATTTTTGAGATGTCATTTGGACATGTAAGTAGAGTATACAGATATCAAATTATGGACAAGAAATCCTTAATCAACATGCTCAGGAGGACATATACGTATTGAGATTTTGAAAAAAATTGGTGAGATCAAGATTATGGCCGAAATGGCCTAAGAAAAAGGTGATTATCAAGTCACAGTAGATCTGGTTCATGGAACATTAATAACATTTACCCTTGAAGTGAAGATTTACAGTAGTAACATAATATGCAGACAATATAACTCACCTGTAAACTGTTACAAGATTCTGCCAGACGTCTAATTCGGTCTGTGATCTCATCTTCCACTTCCTCCCTTTGAAACAAGGCAGAACCTAATGGGAATCCCCATATCGTCTCATCAGTGTTACCAGATGTCCTTGCAGATTTGACCAAAGTATCATCAAGAAGGTAAATAGAAGTTGGATGAAAATGAGGACGCAAAAAATCTGACCAGACTTTTACTGATTTCGTCAGGTCATATATTTTTTGTGATGGTGCAAGGTGGAAGTCTGGAACTTTGTTGCTGATACTTGAATCATCTGTTAAATAATGGACAGAAGAAGAGGATATAAAAAATACACAGAGTACGTGACACTTAATACAGTACTGTACTGTATAGGAAAGTAGTGTTAAATTAGTATATAATATGACAGGCAACAACAAGAGTACTACTGTATAACTAACCAATACATATATCCTTGTCTTCATCTGCTGGCCCAAGAAATCTAGCATCTTCCTGCTCAAGGTCCATCAAATATTCATTCTTTTCTTCAGGCAATTGTTGTATAAGTTCAACTGGTCCATCCCAAGAAGCCTCACTGGTAGAATGGTCAGGTTGTATGGGGTTGTAGAGAGATCCATGAGCTGGTAGACTGTGTAAACTGCCCTTTGTATCAATACATAATAACCTGGGGGTGTATGTTTCTTGTCTCTGAAAATTGACACAACAATAACCTCTCATCCAAATTGTTCTCTTTGCACTGTATGTATCACATTAATTCACATGTATTAACACCTCACTAAAAATCTCTCGCTCTCTCTTATTAAATGATCTCAACTTCAGTTTCAATTCAACCCACAATGGTTAGATAACCTTCCAAGTCTTAACTCAACCCAACTGAAACTGTTTTAATTATGCTGACAAACTTTATGGAAGAGAGAGCCAATGGTATAAAAAAGAAAGACGAGGAATTTATTCAAGTGAGAGAATAAGTGAATAAAACAAAACTGATGGGCTAAAAGAATATGAATAAGTGTGTAAAACAATCGTGATGTTTGGGACACGAGAATTGGGATACATTTAGCGATGAAGGTATTTATATAAGATGTATCACGTGATTACTAATTACAGGCATCCCCCGCGTTACGGAAGGGTTCCGTTCCCGGAAAATTGACCGTATCGCGAAATTCCGTAAAGCGAAACCTATATTCCCATTGACTTCCATTATAAAACTGGAGGTGCGTTCCTAAGGAATTTTTTCGGCCCCCAAAAAGTAATTCAAGCACTTTTATTAATGAAAATAAACATTTATAAACACATACAATACAGTACATTAAATAATTTATGATATACCTTCTTAAAACACCAATTTAGGGGTTAATATTGCATTATACAGCTACGTGTATGTTTATTTGAGTGCCCCGTCATAGGAGTCCGTTTTCTCTTAATCTTAGAGTACACCAGATACTTTGTTATTTCTTAGTAGTGACACAGAATTTGATATTGCAACTGGGGTTGCAATTGTTGAGGCAACTTAGGTCTATTACAGTTGGAATATTCAAGATCCATTGTGAGTGATGTTTAAGGCTTCAACTGTCTTTATGGTTGGTAAAACTTGTCAAGTCTGTCAGTCTGAATGGCATGTGTGAGGCCTTGTGTTTGTTATGATTTACCCCAATTTCCGTAAGGGCAGATATACGGGCCGTAACGCGAAATTATTGGTCATAATTTACAAATTCCGTAGGAGCATAATTCCGTAACCCGGGCTTCCGTAACGCGGGGATGCCTGTACCATAAATTTTATACGTACTTGAGAAGTGACACCTTCCCTGAAGAGGAAATCATGGTTGATATCTGAAGTTGAGGAGCTGTTGTACACAAAACTTGCTTCCTGAAATGTGTGATAATGTATTATAAAAAGTACCAAATGATAAACTTCAAAGGACAATTCTTATGAAAGGCATCAATGGATAAACTAAAATGTACAATATTAAGCTCACATAACAAAAAGGCAACTGCAATGTTATTTGTTACAATCATATTTACATCTGTAATATATATACAGTGAACCCTCACTTTACACGGTTAATTCAACCCACAGCGGCCCGCGTAAAGTGAACAACATAACATATGGGATTAATTGAAATAGAGACCGGGCGACCCCCCAAACTCCACTTTTTCCCGACACAATACGTATGTTTTACTAAAAATAACATCTTAACTTTATGATGGTGTTCACCCACACAATATAGAAGGGAACAGTCAATAAGAGAAGAATAAACTGAAGGTTAGGTTAGAAAAAAACAAGGTTGGGGTTAACACTTACGTTAGCAGAAGAGATGGGTCGGCGTAGGGGAATGGAGGCTGGTTCCGAGGCAGAGGGCAGGCTACTGGCCCTCAGGTGAGTCTTCATCGGTGTCATCCACACTTACTAGTGCCTCCCTGACAAATCCCTCAAAGTCATCATCACTGTCTCTGCCTCTGTCACTATCACTGGCTTGGGCTGGCTGTGGTGGGTTGCGGGCGAAGAACTCTGTTATGCTTTGCTGACGGCTGGTGTTTATGTTGTCGTAATAAACCTTGATGTAGGGCTCCATAGTCTGCAACAGCTGTGGTAGTGAAGATTTCATACCTGTTTGCGTCAGGGTCGTCGGAAAGGAGGAGCTTGACTTTCTCAATACACTCGATGGCACCCCTAACATTACTATGGGATAAGCGGCGTTCTTCTTGGGATGACGCACCACCTGCCTCTTCACTGACGTCATCATCATCTACCATCTCGTCAGTAGTCACATCAGGATCCCTTATCACCTCCAGGATGTCGTAGTTGGTGGTCTCGGAGAAGCCTGCAACTGTAACACTCTGCGCAGCTTCTCTGGCAAAGTCCACTGCTACTGCAACAGTCTGAACCTCACCAGTCACAGATTTACTCTGCCTAACACCCGGAATGCCTTGCAACACATGTCTCCATGCGTGACAAACAGTTGCTACAGACAGCTGATCCCATGCCTCCACCAAGAAGTCCACAGCTTTCTTGACGTTGAATGTTCTCCAGAATTGTTTTAAAAGTACTTCTTGCTCTGCCAACTGTTGATTCTCGTCGTCTTCGCTCTTGCTATCGGTGTTGGTGTCACTCAGGTTACGTAACTCTTCCTTGGTGTTGGTGTAGTCGTTCAGGAGGTTGAATTTTTTAGCAGAGAATGCAGCTTTTACATTACAGATCAATTCTTGGTCCATGGCTGTAATATAGACGTAGTGTTGGGAGGAAGGAAGACCACTTTTACGTTGGGGTGACGATCTCACAGTTGGGGCGAGTGTCCTGGTGCGTTGTCCAGCAGCAACAAAATCTTGAATGGCACATTATGTTGCTCACAGAATTTCTTCACATCGGGAACGAAACAGTCATCAAACCAGGAGAGGGACAGTGTAGAGAATATCCACGCCTTACGTGCGGTCAGCCAGTGGACATTTAACTTGGTCATGTCCATGCTCTTGTAGGCGTGCGGCTTGCGTGCTGTGTGGATCACCGATAACTTGAGTTTACAGGTACCGGAGGCATTGGTGGTAAACAGGACGGTGATGAGCTCCTTCTGCAACTTCCGGCCCCGACACTTGCTGGCATTCTTCACAACGAAGGTCTTGGAAGGTAGCTTTTTCCAAAAAAGACCAGATTCGTCCATGTTAAACACCTGGTCGTTGGTGTACTGCCCTTCCTCCATAATCTCACATAAAAACGGAGGAAATTCCCTAGCAGCAACACGGTCAGCACTAGCTTCTTCACCACCAATGTTGATATTGGTGATCTTGTTTCTCTTCTTAAACCTCTGTAACCACCCAGAGGAAGCATTAAAGGGTTTGGGCTCTGTGATTCCCATCTTTCGTGACACTGCAGCATACAGTTCACGTGCGTACTCCTTAACTGAGCGCGTGTCCACCGCCATGTTCCGTCGCGCCTGACGCACCAAGTAGCTCACAAGTAATTTTTCTGTCTTGAGAAGCACCTGGTTGTGGCAATACTTGATCATAGAAGCACCTGTAGACTTTGTGATGTTCATGTGCTCCTTTATCTTGGCTGCATCCTTCTTAATTGTCCTGATCGTAGACTCGTTAACACCATGCTGGCGCGCGAGATCAACCTGTCTTGTTCCTTTCTCCAACTCTTGTATGATCTTATATTTAATTTCGTAGCTTAAGCAACGTCGTGTCTTCTTTGGCTTAGGGCGGCTGGGTCCAGGTAATGCAAGGTTTCTTTGTAGTGGTGGTGGTGGTGGTGGTCCGGTGGAAGCCATTCTTATGGAACAATGGATACCGATATACACGGTGTAGCCTGGAGGGGTGTAACTGACGCGGTAGGTTGAGGGGCTTGAACGCTCCCGCGGCGGGGCACGTTATAGTACTACATTAAACCAATCACAGCTAGCAGGGAGGGAGGTAAGGATGCTTTGCCCAATCACAGTCCGCTACGTCATATGACGTCACCGATAACGCAACAAAGACATACACTGCGCAACCTACTCGCGCCGCTTACACAACATGGCGGATGGCGGGAGAGATGGCGGGAGGTTTGGATCAAAAAATGGCGCGGCGCGAGAGGACCGCCCCAGCCGCTCTCCGCGTAAAGGGGTACACGCACCGCGGAAAGTGAGCATTCCGGTTTCGGCAGGGTACCGGGTAAACGTGGAAACGCGTAAAGTGGGACCGCGTAAAGCGAGGGTTGACTGTATGTTATTATCTCACACAGACTTAACATGTTCCAATATTAAGTCTTCTTCTATATTTATTAATTTTATTTCCTACATCCACAGGTGATACAGGTATGTTATTTCTTTTTACTTACTTGATTCTATTTTTCTTTGTATAAATGCTTCTCTCATCTCTTGTTTTTCTACACACACAAGTAATCTACGCTCCAGAATTGGACCTGAATTTTCATGTCAAAACTGTCGATATGGTTAAGGTGAGGAAGGGCTTGGTAGGATTTAGACTGCTATTTTTCAGTTTTATATAAGAAAATTCAAACAATGGGAGGAGTAGATTGGAAGACAAAGTTGTGTCATACTAACCTGAAGATTCCACCAGTGAGTGCCAACAAAGTTTGCATGATGACCAATTTGAAGAGTTATTAATTCACGAATATTTTGTGCCATTTTCTCTAGTATCCTTTAGCTTTATAATCAAGACCTGTTTGTCATTCATGCTCCATATGAAGTGCAACACTGAACCTGGAATACATTATTATTATTAGATATAAAGTAAAGTAGCTACTGTAAATAACTTTTCTTACCCTATGAGCAGGCCAAAACATTTATGAGGAGTATGTTTTTCCTAATATAAATTTTGTTAAAAGAACCACTCCTACAGTTTTATCGTGGTACTCATGTCAAAGTCGTGTTTGGCCATCTTCCTCCGCCCATTAGGCACGTCAGACTTGATATCCCACAAAATACATTCCTCCCTCATTTGTTGATAGGTAGCAGCTGAACCACTCTGGTCTACTATCACCTTTTTCTATATTAGATAATGGTAACTGTACTATTTTAAGTTAGATTGTGTAAGGCTAAGTAGGTTAAGGTTTCAATATTTATTTAACTTTCAACTGAACGTAAATTACTACATGCTGTTCATATGTAGAAATGTTTGCACAGAGGAATTATCAGCTACTGTTACATTATAGAATGAACCAATCTAACTAAGATGGAGAGATTAGCTAGCTAATAAATCAAACTGAGTAGCAATACATTTTTTATTAAGCTCGGAGATCTTTACAAATGACTTATATATGTGCCAGGGGGTCCTGAAGGGCTCCACCTCCTGGTTAGGAGGTTAGGTTAGGTCATTTGCAAGGCAAACGTCAAAAAAGAAGTGTCATAGAATTGTCGGTAATTTATAAGAACAGCGCTACCACCAGAAGGAGTTGTTCGATTTCGTTCATTTTCTCCACAGATGTTCTTATCACTATACAGGTAGTAAGTATTTTAAAAGAGGTGACAACTTTTTTTTGAATTATGAGTACCAAATATCCAAATAAGTACTTACTATAATTATGGCCCCAGCTAGGAAGTTAGATACAGTACTGTTAGGTAGTTTTATTTGGTTGGTTAGGTTAGGTTCTATTAGGTTTTAGTAATTGTCACTTCTTTTTTAAATACTTACTATAATGATAAGAGTATTTGTAGAGAAAATTAACAAAATTAAACTACCTTTCTGGTAGTAGTGATATTGTCAGACATTACTGTACTGAACTGTCTAAGGTTCGGTAAAGAAAAAAATCATAAGATTTCCATGTTGTTTGAATGTAAAAATGTATAACTTTTTGGTCTTCTCTTGAGGGTAGGAAAGCATTTATATTCTAAAGAAAATATTGTCACGTTTTTGGTTTAGGTGAAACCATCCTTCTTTATTACTGAACGTTTACTGAATGAATGAATGACAAAAAAGGAAGAGTGTGTGTTTGCAGCCACCCTGTAGTAATGTTTGCAGCCACCCTGTAGTACTAATAGTAAATGGCTTTTATTAATTAAACAATTAATATTTGCAGCTAGGACCTACAGTCAGAGAGGCTACAGCCTTGGCACACTTCTAGGCACCAACACTAAAATAAAGACCCTAAAATTTACTGGATGACCAAAACGATAATAATACCCAATTACCTTATGTATTTTCTCCACGTATACAGTATTCACAACATTTGTGCCACAAATGTAATAGAATATAGTTATTTTTGAGGTTAATATATAGGACTAACAAGTGAGCGAGTTATTTTTATTAGTTTATTTTCTTACATCATTTTCATCAGTGAGTTCTTATATGTTAATCATTTATTGTGGAAATTGTTCGTTTCATAGATAATTAGGAGCCTCGGTGCGCACTAGTATATCTTGCGGGCGGTAATTAGGCTCCGCCCTGCTGTGGGTCATTGTTTCCGCGCCCTGGGCAGTTTGTTTTTTGGCATGTCGTCGCCTATGGTACATGGTCACAATTTGTGATTTTAGGGATAAAGACAACGAGACCCTTTAATTGTTTAAGGATCACAGCAATGTTCCTTCACGTAGAGACTGTCCACGCTGCGGGAATCCTTGTACTTTCCGACCCGAACGAAATTTGTTTGTGTAACAAGAAAATTACAAACAAGAGAAACAAGCGGGCTGTGGCTACAGCTCTAGTCCATATAAAGGAACTTGGCTTGAAAATTACAAGATTCAGCCCAGTGTTTTGATTTTATTTATTAATTTTTTTTACAAAAATATTTCACAGAAATATTGTGATATTTAACTTGGGTTGAGCCCCAATTTTGTTGTTGACTGGAAACAGTTTTGCTGTAAGGTCTGTATGTACTTGATGGAAAACTGGGAACCTATTGGCCAACCAAATGCAATTGTAGAAATTGACGAAAGTAAGTTTGGTAAGAGGAAATTCCAACTTGGCCGCTTAGTGAAAGGTGTCCTGGTTTTTGCGTCATTGAGTGTGGGTCTGGCCGCATGTTTGTTGTGCCGGTTGAGAAAAGAGACGCCGACGCCCTAGTTCCTCTTTGCCAGAAATTTATCACGCCAGACACCACTATCTACAGTGATTGTTGGAAAGCCTTCTCGAACTTTGGGTTTTTGGGTTTTAACACCAAACAGTTAACCACAGTGAAAACTTTGTTGACCCTGATACTGCAGTGCACACTAACACTGTATAATGGCTGTGGAAAGATATAATGTTCTGAGGGCTGGCAACACGGATTACCACTACAAACAATACTTCACTCGCTACCTGTTCTGCCTCTTTCACTGAGACCACGGCACAATCCTTCGTTACTTCCTTAACGCTATGGCTCGACGTTTCCAACGGGCACATTAAATCAATCCGCCGCCCGGGCTGCATAGCGCCGATCTCACGTCCAGAAAATTCCTCAAATTTCACCATATCATAGTAAGTTCTTTCTGTTTATTATACCGTGGGGGGGAGGAGGGCTAGTTAGGTAGGTTTGTTTGGTTGGGTTAATTAAGTCTGTTTGGATATTCCCCATATTGTCACCAATCCACTTCATCACCGACCAGGTTCGTTGCCAATATCATATCCGTTTCGTCACCACTAACAGTCTCTGCTATTAGTGACAAATTTTAAGTTATTATTTTACACCAATAGAAAGTAAGGTATTATTTTACTTTCGGACATAGAGCCCCCGAAAGTTATAAACTACTGAATCATTTAGATCTCGCTATTCTGAGCATTTTGAACACCACATATACCAGGCGGAAATGGATAATTGCGACAGAATTGAATTTAATTGATTTTAAGTAGTTTTCAGTCTTTGTCTGTGAGGAGATGTTATCTGCGCATCACACATGCGCAATGTTGACTGATGTCATCCAGTCGTGACCAATGAGGTATCAATATCATCATGCAATTTTTTTTTGACCAATCACATTTGATTTTTCTCAAAGGAAGCAGCCTGGGCATAATTTTAATTTCATTGACCAGTTTCACAATGGCCGTGATGGAGGTTGGTTGTCATTTGTACTTCTACGATTATTTTAAGTTTATTGCCGAGTTTTACAAGAAAGACGATCATTCTATCCAATTCTTACGTATCCCTGGCACTTCTAACTAAGGTATTGGACTTTCGGACATGGCACGCCCCAAAGTTTTTAACTACTGAAACATTTAGGTTAGTTTAAGCTAGGCCTACCGGGGTTCTGCCCCCAGCTAGGGGTCAGGTTAGGCCAGCTGGGGGTCTGGGTGCGGAGCCCCAGTCTAGGAGTTAGGTTACCGGTAGGTTTTGTTAGGTTCAGATGACTCGTTTTCATTTTCTCCCCCACCCAAAAAACCCCGACCTCCCGGGCTGTCCTCCATTATTGTTGGGAGGGGGGGGGGGGCAAAAACTATCAATTTCTGTCCAAAATTAAGGTCAGATTCGTTTAAAACATACCAAAATACACTGGAAAAACATATTGGTCAACCCCTAGGGACTCATGTCCTAAAGTAAAAATTTACCGAAATTACACATGTATACAGACGACTTTAGAAGTATTGTGTTATTATTATACATGAATATTAATTGTTTAATAAAGAAAACAATTCAACATTGGTAAATATACAAAATACAGAACAAATGAAGGTGATTTGCCAACAGCGCATAAAATACTGAGCAGTGAGACCATTGGAGGCGTATTAACAAAGTTTTTATTATTTATTTTCGTCTTTAATAAATTGTCTTGGTGTTTTTACTATTTTCTATCCCAAGCGACAGTTATTTTTGTGTATATATTGATGGGAATGAACACGGTTACGAAACGGGTTGGTGACGAAATGGGCAGACCCCATCTGTTTTTCATACCCACAAATGTTAAGTAGCGTTTATTTAAAAAATATAAAAATTTTAACATATTTCTGCAAACTACAAGTGTCCACTATTATATAAGTGAAAATCCGGTGTTTTTATAATTATTTTCAATCAATTTCGCTGGCGGGTTAGTCCTATATAATTACCTTTTTTGCTCTCTCCATATATAAATAAATCTACAATTGTACTTAAAAGGTCTGTTGTTGTTAGTAGTTTCCAGCACAACATAAATATGGTGAGGTATCATAACTCAACACAATGGACTAAAATAACCATTAACTACACTTCGTCTCGCCGTAATATAGTATTATAACACTTACCATGTAATATTATAGTTACATAATATTATCAATAAATGTCTTACCGACGCATCAGGAGGTGTTAGGTGTCATCAACTGCAGGAGGCTGGACTGTGTCTCCGCTCGGCTTTTGTCTTGTAACCAAACTCTAGTGGCTTCTTGTGTTGTCTCAGCGTGATCACCCTGTTCAAGATGTTTAACTGTATTAAAGAGTTATTTGTGGGCATTTATGGCGGGCCAATATATTTCACAGTGAAAGCTTTGCACCGAAGAAAAAAGAACTTCAACAGGTCATCAGTGTAAGTACAGGATATACGTATTAGTATTATTATTATCGATGAATTTATAGTATTACACCGGTCTCTTTTACTGTTGTTAATATGCATTTCGCGGTCCCACTAATTACCCAAATGTACCCAAATGTAGCCACAATGAAGTCAAATGATGGTCATACAAGCGTAAATGGGGCTGTGAATAACTTCTCGATTAGTATTTGGTGTCATAAAGTAAAAAAATTGGTAAACTTAATTTAAACTGAGTTAGGTTAGGTTAGGTACATGCACTCGATCTATTAACTCAGATTAAATTAAGTTTACCAATTTTTTGACTTTATGACACCAAATACTAATCGAGAAGTGATTGGCAGTCCGATTTATTCATGTAGGACCATTATTTGACTTTCATGCGGCTACATTTGGGTTCATTTGGGTAATTAGTCGGACCCTGCATTTCGTATTGTTTTAGACAATTCTAAGACATTTTTCTTGGTAAATTTGCATTGTCACACCGTTCTCTGTTAGAAAGTAAAAAATAAATTTTTCTATTGTATTTGTGTATGCTTAGACCGAATATGACCTTCATTTCTGGCAGAAATTAGCCTTTTTTTTTTTTTTTTTTCGTTGGACGTTTTCCGAAAAAAATCATGGCTAAGTACACCCAAAAAAACACCAGAAAAACAAAAACCAAACCTAACCTAACCTGACCTAACTTAACTGACTCTCACCATATGATGGAATCACCTATTTCGTACCTTATTGGCCTAGTTCTTGTTCGTCGTTGCATTCTGGGATTCTTACCCAACGCCACATATGTTGGTCTTTGCTATATTTACATTCCGTCTTGCTCTTAGTACACTTTACCGAGGATGGAAGAACACCATGCGATCGAAAAAATGCTATAGTTTCTACGTTTTTTTTTCCAAAAACTCGCAATCAGCTCCATATACTTTAAGTGACATCCATCGCAGACTTCCATGGTCGGAACTGAACTTGAATTTCAAAATATGAGACCCAAAATAAAATTCGAATTTGAATGGGCCAAATATACTGCGAATTACACCCCAAATCATTTTAATTAGTTCCAAAAGCAAAAACGCTTTTGATTGGCTGCGTGACGTGTACGGGAACGCATGTGCGGGATGATTTATGAAGGAGACACGCAGTGTTGGAGGTGAGGCAGGCGATAATGGAGGAAGATTAATGGAAGAAAATAGAGAAAATTTTGGATATGCTATCTCCGTTATTTTACATTTCCGCCGGTAATGTAATAGATGAAAATTGTCTTATAATTAAACGTCTTATTCGAATATGATAATAGATTAGTGGTAGGAATGAACGATGTGTAAATGCAATAATTCCGTTATTATTATTATTATTATTATTGATTTTTTTATTTTACTTATCTAAATTATTATTATTAATATTATTATTATTATTGTTATTATTATTATTTGTATTATATTTTCACCCCCCAGGCCCCGATGTGGGTCAGTGACCTGTGCCCGGGTGGGCTAATACCCATAAAAAAAAGTTACTGTGGTGATTTCGGCCTCACATTAGATGGGACGATGTCAGGCTTTTTGAGGCTTTTTTATTGTAACTATTTTAAGCACATGGATTTAAAATCATATACATATACAGTGGGGTATGCTATAACGAACGGATCCTACTACGAATATTCCTATAACGAACGGTTTTACCTAAAAAATTGAGAATGCTATAACGAATGAAACTCCTACAACGAACATTATTTAAATTTTTTTTTTTTTTTTTTTCTAATTTATTATTTTTTATTACAAGTATTAATGATATTCTTTGATATTCTTTACTTCAGGGGTTTAGATGCATATTTATGCACATTTTTACAATTTTTACAATTTTATATTATATTTTTCAGTGTTAAGTGGTTGTATTGGAGTTAATGATGATATTTGGTAACTTGTCCCACTGGTCCACTACGTACTCTATTTCCAAACCAGTGTTTACCTATTTCGCGCCTAAATCTAAATTTGTCTAATTTAAAACCATTGTTACGAGTTCGCTCCTGGTTGGATAGTTTGAGCACCTTCGTAATGTCCCCTTTGTTTAGCCCTGACTTCCATTTATACACCTCTATCATGTCGCCCCTCGCTCTACGTCTCTCGAGGGAGTGCAAATTAAAATGCTTTAACCTGTCTTTGTACTCAAGGTTCCTAATGCCTGGGATTAGTCTTGTCATTTTCCTCTGAATTTTTTCCAAGGAGTCTATATCCATTCTGTAATACTGTACGGTGACCAGAATTGAACTGCGTAATCCAGGTGAGGTCTCACAAGCTCAAGATATAGTTTCAGGAGGACCTCGCTAGTCTTGTAACTAACACTCCTTTGTATGAACCCAAGTACTTTATTAGCCTTGTTACGAGCAAATACACATTATTTACTTGGCTTAAGATTCCTACTTATCATTACTCCTAAATCTCTCTCGCAGTCGGATTTCTCAATAACATCGTTGTTCATCTGGTATCTGGTTTCCCTGTTTTCATCTCCTATACTGAGCACTTTACATTTGTCCACATTGAATTTCATCTGCCATTTTTCAGACCATTCAAAAAATTTGTTTAGATCTTACTGTAGTTTTGCGGAGTCCTCGTCAGATTTAATTACACCTCCTATATTAGTGTCATCGGCAAATTTACTTATGTTGCTGTCTATGCCGATATCTATGTCGTGTATGTATATAATAAATAATAATGGTCCGAGTACTGAGCCTTGGGAACTCCACTAGTGACGTAGCTCCAATGGGATTTAGTGCCATTAATGCTCACTTGCTGTTTCCATTGATTTTGGTATACAATAAGTGGTGTGTGATTTTAGCAGGGATGGGCCAGTGACCTATATCCTGTACTGAATACTTAAGCATGATATTATTTAATGGTTTATATCCGCTAAAATAAAATAAAATAAATTTATATTTTTTACCCGAGAACATAAATTAGAATTAGTATAAATAAAACATAAAACATTGTTGAGAAACTGGTATTGCACCTAAATATCACATGGCTAGTTTGATCATACATTACAATTATTAATATTCTGCCTTTCCAACTACGGTAATCTCACGTAATGACGAACAAGATGGAACTATTGACAATACAGTTCCTGTATATGATTAAAATTATAGTATGTGAACATTTATTTAACATACAGATGAAGTTATATAAGAGCTGCCAAAGAGTTTAATAATATGGTTGTTTCTCAGGGCCCAGTGGAGGAGGTGCACAGTACAGGAAGACTTACCTCGTTGGCAGCTGATAATGATTCTTCACTGGCCAAGCTGAAGCAGTTGTTGGCTCTGACAGTGTGGCCTGGAATGGAAGTAAGTCATACAGTATGGCTTTTGTAGTGCCTGTAAAGTGAATATACAGCCACTCAAAAAAGTATCTCTGCAAAATCGTGTTGGAAAAATATGACACAATGGACGAAGGATTTTGACAACCCTAGAGACAACAGGAGTCACAGTGTTCATTCTGGAATTCATCGATCACCCCAAGTACAGATAGTTTTTTGAGTGACTACTTAATAATATGTAAGTGAATTGAATATTGACTAATTTTGAATCAAGTACAGGTACAGTACAAACATATATTTTTACCCGAGGGACGACGCTTATTTTGTTTATTATAACGGTCATAGGTCACTCGGTACGTCACCCGGTGGACCGGTTCCAGCGCAGCGCTACAGTAAGCCGAACTCCACCCCCCAGTCACTGCCTCCAAACCAAGAGCCTCTAACCCAGGTGACACACTCTGCACCTTACCAAGTTGGTGGAAGCTGAGGTGATATTGGACACACAGCTGGCATATAACCAGCTGCCCTACATGGAAGCGCTGGTAAGACTCTTGGGGCATGTAGGAAGTTTCTTTGTAGAGTATAATAAAGTATAATATTCCCATGCATTATTTTATCACTGTTCTCCATAGATAAACAGAGTATAATAAAGTATATTTCTAGGTGTTGTGTTCAGCCGTGGCAACCAAACAAAGTGACCGGAAGAAGCTGGTGACTGACGCTCACTCGACAGTGTGGGAGCTGTGTACAGACACCCACCTCTTCTTTCTCTTCATTCAAATATCTAAGATGATCTCAAAGCAAGCGGGACACTCGGGTACTGTACTGTGTTGTATTGTAGAATTTGTCTTATTTTATTGAGTATTATTGTTTTATTTGTATTAATATTATTGGGTTATTACTGTACTTGCATTATCGTTACATATAAGTATTACTGTACGGGTAGTTGATTTTGTTTTTGTTCTTATTATTACTGGTATTATTATTATTAGTGTTACAAAATTATTATTATTATTATTTTTACTCTTACTATTATTATTATTATTATTATAGTTATTATTATTATCATCTATTACAGGTATGCATTACTATTATTTTTGTGCTTGTTATATGTACTGTATTATTATCTTAACTTCTCTCTGTGACCTTCCATAGATTCTGGTGTAATTTCCTCTTTGTGAACTTTATGCTCATCGTCTCGCCCCATATTTACAGACATCCGTATGTATGTTATTGCATCATTTGCTGTATCATTCACTGCCTTCCTTCACATAACCTTATCACTTGTCAGATTATTTTCATCAGCCGCTGTTTACTGTAGGTTGGGGTCGTGGGCTGTGTGGTACCTGAGCTGGGAGCCTCGACGCCTTGGAGTTCACACGACACTACAGCGCGTACTGGTGGACCCACCGCGACGTCGTCAGATTAGCACACTTGAAGCTTCGTGTTGGTCACACAAAATATATATATGTGTATATATATTAGTTCTTGATTTGATAAGTGGCAGGACTGAAGTAAACACTTTATTGGTTTTATTTTATTGTAGAAAAATATAGTTTCACAGGTACTGAGTTCAGTTGAGAGTACAGTAGAAGTCCAAAAATCCGGACTGCTTGGGGATTGGGTTGGTCCGGAATTTTGGATTTACCGGATTCTCAGGCAGTACTTTTAAAATTCAAATTTAAGGAGGAATAAAGAGATGAACAGGTACATTTTGATAGTTTATTCATTAGCAAATATAGCATGCTTCATTATCAAAACAAGCAGTTCTAAGGAAAAAGCTGTGAATTCTAGAATTTTATTCTTTGCCTCTTTTATATCATAAATTGTAGACTTTCCAATGTCTTATGTTTCCATTTGAACAGTATTGCTCACACCATGTTCTAGTTTAATTATTTCAAGTTAGTCACTCAATTTCAACGTGTTCTTCTTTCTCTTCACACAACGAAGTTTATCTACTTTAGGAGCCATTATTATGGGCTTGTACAGTACAGTACTCTGTAAATGAAAAGAGTAGGACTCAAAATTACATACATTGTCACAGTTTGATTGCTCTTTTTAAAGTGGCGACTGCTTGGTCGCTTGTTGTTGCTGTGCAGCTGTGGCACTCACACATACGTATATACACACAAAAGCACGCAAAAAAAAAAAATTGAATTTCCTAAAAGTCCGGATTCTCGGGTGGTCCGGATTTCTGGCATCCGGATTTTTGTACCTTCTCTCTACTAAGGTAAGTGTCTTAGTGCACTTATAGGAGAACACTTAACAGGTGATATGATAGTCTTTCTCTCTCACGCTCATCCTGTGAGGCAAGGCGCCTTACAGGATACGCGTCGGGTTGTTGTCAGTGCTCCTCACAGGATGTTGTTGTTGAAAAGTGTTGACCCAGCTTGACCTCGCTAGCTCCATGGAGGAAATGTCAATTCACCAATTAATTCATACTCATGGATGAATGACTTAGTGAATACATGGGTAACATGACCTCACGGATTAATACCTAGGTGTACCTAACCTTGTTACAAAAGGGTGTGCTTAGCTAAACTTTTTCATCGTTTATATGCTTTTGCAATGCCTTCCGAAAAGTTTTCTTAGAAGCTATTGTGTACCTACAAGAAACCTTTCTATAACAAATTATCATAACACTCAAGGAACTGATAAATATGATGGTAGGTATAATAAAACCAGGTAGGATTATACCGGAAGATAAGTATAAAGGAAGAGAATCCTGTAAGTCAGGAAACTGTGTCTCATTAATATAAGACAGGAGGTTAAGGTTATCACAAACAATATAGAGATTTCTGAAACTTACATTTAAGGGAAATGGCATGGGAATCAGCTCAGAAGTAATATTTGTGACAAATGCAAGATGATGACGAGTAGGCAAGGTTGTGATTGCATTACTGCTAATTTCACAATAGTCTGGTGCTATATGATAACCTTCCACCATTTAATGTTTGCCTATATCCTGACATATAAGTATCACACTGGTTTGATTCGGGAACAAGAAATATTGCACATTATTGACATGTGTGTGAAACACTAACCTATGTGGTATTGGAGTGTACACATTGTTGTAGAGGCATTAGTTTGTAACAGAGCTAATTCACATGCAGATGCAAATATGTTGATTTACAATGATTTAGGACTTCATGCTTAGCCACAGTAACTAATGAAAATCCTCTGATACTACTATTAGTTCAGTTTGTTTGTTCAGAATTAATATTCCCTCATTCGCTTTTAGTGGAAATGGTTCCAAATGCCATTCATTAAAATTTTTTTATGATTTTAGTGGAATGTGTATTAGTATTTCCCTGTGTGTTAATGTTGCTTCTAATAAGGGATAATAATATTCCACTTCATGCTCCTGAAAGATAGGAGTTAGATAATAATTAGTTTCAGATATATGTAACGCGGCAATTAGTTGATGAACCGGCAACAACTGTGTAATGGCCCTTTTTTGTTTCCTAACCGCGTCTGAAACTGCACTCATTTGATTTCCTAGTTTGGCCACATCTTTGGCGGTTGCCGTACCAAACAAGGTGTTACATAATAATCCTACTAATTTAAATAGACCACTTTTTTGACGCCGCTGAGAATGTAAATTTTTCCGATGTCTTCAGGAGATACAGGGAGCTTTCTCTCGAAATACCTTACTCGTTTGAGTAAACTGTTCATACGGTCGTGTTGAAGGGAGATGGTCTGACGGATTGTAGAGAATATAGATTGTTGTTCGAGATCTTGCAAGGTTTGCATAGCTGTTTCAATGTGGACAGCGATCGACCTCAGATGCACAGGCATGTGCATTAAGTCATGTAGCTCGTATTTGATAGTGACAACGTCTTGTACTATTAATACTTTGCCTCGTGGGGCAACTAAGGCTCCGGGTTTGACGACGTCCGCTGGGGAGGGGAGGCGGCTGTTGACACCACACTCCAGGCCAACAGTAGTAGTGATTAACGATCTTTGTTTGCTGATCGTAGTTTTTGACGATATGTATTGTCTATCGTTATATTTTGTTGAGCAACTGTTGTAGTTGAAGTAGGATGTACTTTACTGACATTAGGAGTCCCTACTAAGTCTCTGCTGACTTTTTTCATTCTATCAACATGTACGATATCTGTAACATTTGACGTTTGGCTAACAACTTGGAATTTGTTTCCATGTTCATTCGCTCTTATCACGTACGGACCTGTGAATTTAGGCGAGAGTTTTGATATGCGTTCCGGCGCTTTTATCGTTACTTTGTCGCCTATTTCTAATTTTATAGGCTTGGCTTTTTTGTGTTGCTTGTAGATCAATTCAGCACGTGATGCTGCTGAGTGTTTTCGTACTTTTCCATGGATGCTCGTGAAAACATTGATTTGTTTCTTGGCATAGTCATTCATGTTGTACACAGGTTTTGGAATTCCTGTTAGTAAATCATACGGTAAGCATTTATCTTTACTGTAAATTATGTAGTATGGCGATTTGCCTGTAAAGCTATTTATAGATCCATTGATGGATGCTGCAACCTGTGGAAGCCAGTCCTCCCACGAACTATGCATTGGGTTCACCACATGTTGGAGAATCTCAATAATATTTTTATTCGCACGCTCGACCAACCCATTTGAAGATGGATGGTAGGCGGTTGGGAAGGTTTGTGTAATGTCATAATGTTGACATATAGCAGCTAAGAGTTGATTCTTAAATTCTGCCCTGTTATCCGAGATTATCACCCTAGATGTAGAGAAAGGACAGATTAGATGAGTGACTATTGCATGAGCCACTAATTTGGCGGACTTGTTCGGCAATGATGCGAGTACGACAATTCTGGAAAAATGGTCAACGCAGACAAGTACGTAACTAGAGCCTTGATGGCTTTTTGGTAGTTGCAATAAATCGATCGCAACTGTATCCCATGGACGTTCCGGCGTCGGGTATTCTAAGATGGGAGCGGGATCCATCGTTGTTCCCTCGTCTTTTGCACAAGATAAACATTTAGCAATGTGATGCTCGATGTCGATCCTCATAGATTTCCAATAATATTTTTGTCTAATTTTTGTTGGACATCTATCTCGCCCTGGATGCCCAGCTTGGGGTGCATCATGAAAGAGGGTAAGAACGTTTTCCTTTAATGATGTAGAAATAACAATTTGAGAGATTGACTCTTGTGTTTTCACCGAGCGATATAATATGTCATGCCGCAGCTCAAACTGTGAGAGTGGTAGAGGTAATTTACCTCATCTCCCGATTCTAAGGCATATATAACCTTGGACCACAATGGATCCTGTAACTGTTCCGCCCTTAATTGTGACAGGGTGACAGGAGCTATAGGGGGCAGGGAAAAAACACTTTTATTTGAGTTGCAGGCTGCACTTTTCAGGCATCGTTTGTATGGCTGTAACAAACACCTGTGCAAAATTTCATGCCATTTCATGCATACTTACCCTGCCGCATCGCGAACGACTTTTTGTCAACTTTTAGTGTATACCAAAAATTAGGTGTCATTTAATGTTTTCCAGGATAATGATAAATTTTACATGGGTGACATCGATTTAATTCACATGTTATTTTACAGGTACACCGTATAGAAAATCATTACAAGTTCATATTGAAATTCTTTTTTGTGCGGAACCTTGGCATCATTTTCCTAGACAATAATCTTTGCCTAATATATCCATCTCTCGATTCGTATCCCGTCACTTCAGTGCAAGCTTCAGTCATCACTTTTATGCCTCTCTCGACCGCCTGAGTGCTGTTTGGCCACTTGGGCACCACTAATGGTGTCTCAAGAATGTCATTAACCTGTAGATTTGACAGAGAAGCAATGTAAGGAGGCTCAGTCTTGAGTTCATTCCTCCAGTTAATCATGGAATGATAGTTTTTTGCTTGCCACTTTAGTTTCGGAGTCACCACCTTTCTCATGTTGACTACAGGAGGCACATCCTCATTCCCATCTCCATCTTTACCCTCCTCATCAGTATAGTTTAACAAATTCTCGTCAACAGCAGCATCAGAATCTTCCTCCTCCTCTTCAGATCTGCCAGTGCATTCTTCCTTTTGCTGATTCTCCTCTCTAATTTTTCTTATCATTGAGACAGCTTTTTCTCTAACAGTCATGTCCTCATCTGCACACATACCAAGAAGAAGTTGATCTGTGTGGGCGAAGTATGCATTTCTCTGGACAGCCTTCTTCACTATCGTCTCCTCCTCACTATTCAGGTGTTTCATATATAGCAGGGACTGGAATACGTTCCTTGAGCCGTGTGTTACGTAAGGGTGTATCTTGATGTAAAACCACATTGGAGCACTGAACTTTATTATTGTAATGACAATTCTTTTCAACTCATGGCTGGGTCTTGATGTTGCTACATACAGCCTGAGGATTCTACTCCATAAGGTGTTCCACCTTGACACACAGGGAGGACCTGGCTCAATAGCAGCCAAGTCATCTTCAACAACACCTGTGATAACTCCTTTACAAATCCTATACAGGTATTTCTGATCCCAGGACAGATCTTTCTCCACTTCATCATTAAACACAGGGAAATCAGGGAAACTGACTGGCTGGAAGGCGACAA